GAACTAATCCACTTGGAGCTGCATATTGTAAACTTTTTGAAGGTGTCTTGTCAGCACTGTTCAACTTTGAAGGTTTCGAACGTGTTGTTGCTCTAAGCCAAACAAGCTGTAAAGGGCCAAAAAACAAAATCAAGGAGCGTTAGTCAGTCATAATGGCCCTAAGAGATTGTCTACATAACAGTGTGATAGCATGCCACCCGAGGGTCAGCCGGAGACCAGTGTGGGATTTCTGCATGAACATGAATGAGGGTTTGCTGTTCTCGCTCCCAGTGCTGGATAACAGAACATGCATCGGAGGAAAGTGTTCACCAGAGATCATCTCTGCGACGCCTCTCCATATAAACAGACATAAACGCTGAGACTCACCCACGCTAACACTTTCCCACAATTCTAGTGATTGGAGCAGTTTGTGTAAACAACAGATATTTTTTCTTCCTCATTTTTGGCAGTCTTTATAACTTTCAAAACCTGTAGAGACAGACGTTCTGAACTACTTTGCCTCAAAACCTGGAATTTAAAAAATAAACAACCCATTATTCTGTGGCACAGGAAAAGGCAAAAGTCAGTTATTTGCCTTTGGAAAGAAGCGTCTGGAAAACATGAGGATCGTACACAGAAAGACTAATGCTGTCTTCATGTCCTCCTCCTGGGATGTTCCTAATGAGTTTGAAAATCATAATTATGACATTATGTGCGCTTAAGTGATTATGGTCAGAAAAAAATGGACAAATTTTATATTTCACTCCCTTGACAAACACAGGAAGCTTTTTAGCACTAGACCAACAAGATATCAAATAATGTGCATTACGTGTGTATTTAATGCTTTATCTGTGTATTTTATCATTCTTGTGTTGCAACCGAGAATTATGGGAAGGTACAATAAAATTCATAAAAATGTGCAGTAAATCAATAAAACTAGGTGGTCATTGGTACTGATCAAAAGTTCTGATTATATTAAATGTCATAATACTTATATAATAATATAAAATGTACACTGAAGTGTAAAAATATAAATATAATAAATATAAATGTTTTTGTTATTTTTAAAATCCAATATTTCAAATTAGCCTAATATGTAATTAATAAAAAACAATACAAATATTATTAAAATATGTTTTTATGTTTATTTCTATTTTAATATTGTAATAATATTTATAAATGTATAAAATACATACATAATATATAAATACATAAAGTATGTATATAAGTCTATATAATAAACATAATTCTAAACAAAAAAAAAATGCATTATTTAATTAAATTAACTATAAATGTATTAAATATATTGATTATTCCGACATGACTAAAAGGCAGCATAACGCACAAAAATGGCACATCCTCGACGACAAGTGATCAGAAAAGCATTTACAAGTCAGATATCCATGCTCTCCACTCCATCTCTGCTACACCCACACATGGCTATATTAACATCCCAAAAGAGAAAAAGCATATCATGTCTTTATTAAAAGATGTTCTTGGGCTGTCTCTGGTTAGTGTAAAATGAGATTGTGGGTTTATCACGTGAGTCATACTACTAGAGTTAGCAACTGTATCTGTGGTAACAGTACCTGAGGGCAATGGTGATGATTTCAGCAATTACTGAGGTGAGGTGAAGGCTTAGAGACAGAATAACTCTGCTGTTTTTGCCATTAGCCATGATGAAGCCACGGTGTTTATGTTACCAGGCTAATCATCGCTGTTGCAAAACAACATTAATCGCTGCACTCCCACGAGTACACGGCTAGTGCAATGTTCTTGAAGGAACGCTGTAGTGGTAGTTAATGGTGTTTGCCAAGACGAATATCACTATTACCACTGATTATACTTTGCTATGTCTAATCCCATAGACTTGAATAAGGGAGGGACCTGAGCCATATCTACAGACCACAATATCAGAGAGAATTAAGGGTGGCCTCTTTTGACTTAAGTCTGTAAAATATACCTATAAACCACCCAATAAATTTAATTAAAATATTATATTTAATAATATTCAATATATATTAAATCAAATATAGATATGCAGTTATAATAATAATAATAAATCAATTAAAATAAACACATTTGTATAAAAGTTACTTTTTATTTATTTATTTGTAAAAACAATTTTTTGTTTATTTTAGTTTGCTTATTTTTAACATTTTATATTAAATATTATTGTTATTATTATTAGTAGTAGCAATAATAATATATTTGTATGAATATTATTATCATATTATATTTTTATTTATATTCATATAATATTTCATAATTTATTTTAATTATTTTTCATGTTCAAACATGAAATTTGTTCTCTGAATGCCTAATTTACTGTTCAGAACTACTCATACGAGTGTCTGCATGTATCATTCAGTTTAGACAGTTTGCAATAATGTTTAGCATCCATGGTATGAAAATGATCGGTGCGAGACGCGAAGAAACTCTTTTCAGAGAGTTGTGAGTGCAGGCGCAGCTTGTGTTGCAAGATCCAGCATCTTTGGAATTATATTTTCTGCTTAATTGGTTACTTTAGAAAGTTAATAAAGTGAGAAGTTGCAGTTTAGGTTTAGCAATATATTTATCTTAGCTTATTTACAAAATATTTGAACTAATTACTGTTTATTTTCATTACAAAAAAAATGTATTATTTGCTTTCATAGCAATATCTGGCAACACTGCATCACCAGCACTTAAACTGACAGTAATCAAATTTAGCCCACCGACAGGATACCACATTCGGTAAAGCAAACACAAATCATAGTATTATCTGTCAGAAATGTTATCAACACTATCAAAAACTGAAGCATTTAACATTAGTACACAGATCTAGAACAAGTAGGTTACAGAATGAATGAAATATATGTATAAGTCTGTGCTATTTCATTCAGTACAGTAGGCCTAGTTAAATTTTCATTATGCTAAAAACAAGAGCACTAGACAAAGTTATCATCAATATTTTAGCGATGGTTATTAATGAAAACTATAACAGTAATAAGTGTTGTTGCATGAATAATAAACAACTGATAAAATTATCCACCCCAAACTATAGTAAAGTAGTCTGTTAACAAATGTTGATGCACTAAATATGGTATGATTTAAAAATGGTCATCCCTCCTCCAAAACAGAGAAAACATCTTTCACAATCACAAACATCTACATATCTGTCTCTTTTAAAGTGCACAATTCTTAACCCCAGACCTCACTCATTTTCAAACCCTGGCTACGGTCATGCTAGCAACTACCCAAAACACCTTAGTAACTCTCTAGCAACCACCCAGAACAACTTTAACACGGACAAATGGGCCTAGCATTTTCAAAACATATCGAAATAGTTTTCTGATGTCTTGCAAGTATGTACTTCTAGCTAGTACAGTAAAATCCCTACAGATGGCTCCAAATGGCTCCAAAGTCCATGCACAAATTGCCAATGCACTCCAAACTCTAATTCCCCAAGGACGAGAGATCAGAGTCCAATTAAGAAGGCATTCCTGGCATGCTGGCGGAGGGATAAAAAGAGTTAAGCGTCGCCCCCTCCCCGCCTTTCCTCTAAACCTCAGTTTATTTTCTTTTCTTCTCTCCCTTGATGTTTAATTGGTCTGGGAGCGTTTCGGAAACTTTGAGGGAACATTTAAGAATCAGCGTGTCTGACGGCCTTGCAGCAGGACGGAGGTGCCGCGACCTTCTGGAGCCGCGAGTTAAAGGTCGCAGGAGGTCATTCCGCTAACGAGATTTACAGAGTAACAAGAGCGCCTCCAAAATCAACCTGAGCCACTCGTGACCCTCAAAAACCAGCCTGCTCCAATCAACCATCAATCAAAGGTTGAGGCCGAGTGAGAGTTCACACATAAACACCCCGACCACTGAGTGACGAAAAAAAAATGTGTTGCTTGTCTCCACATCTGGAGAGACAGTGACCAAAAAAATCATGAATTATGTGAAGTGTGCCAAGCGTTTCTTAAGAAATATTGCTTTGTTGAAAGGATAAACCGGATTCATTTATTTTTTGAAATGCAGAATCCTAACATTTGCAGAAATCTTGTCAGCAGGACCCTCACAACACATCGACACCAAACACAACTGACACCGAAAGTGTCAAAGCTGCATGTCACCACAGAACGTGTCTTAATAAAAGCTGAAAATGCATATCAGAGCAAAGACCAAGCCCTGAGGTCAAAATAACTGCCTGTAGAGCTCAGAATCAGGTTTGCGTCAAGCCACACATCTAGGGAAGAGTTCAGAAAAAAAATCTGCTTCATTGAAGGTTCACAGAATCATGTAACCGTCTTATTCCATAATGGAAGACGTTTGAAACAACTAGAACTCTTCCTAGAGCTGGCCTCCTGGCCAAACTGAGCAACTGATGTGCATCTGCCCACATCCAACCTGACAGAGCTTGAGAGGTGAAGAGATGAGGAGAAGGATGGCAGATAATTGCCAAATGCTGATGTGCAAAGCTTGTCGCATCATACCCAAAAAGACTTGAGGCTGTTAAGGTGCTTCAGCTAAGTAATGAGTTAAGGGTATGAATACTTATGCAATGTACTTATTTCAGTTTTTTATTTTTAATACATTTACAAAGTTGTGACAGTTCTGTTTTTGCTTTGTCATTATGGTGTATGGAGTGTAGATTGACGAGGGAAATAAAGTAATTTAAAGCAGTTTAACATAAGGCTGCAACATAACAAAACGTGAAATAAATGAAGGCACTGTATATATATAATGGGTAATCACTAAATGTGGAATGGGAAAAGTGGCTGATGTTGCTGAGCAGTGCGATTAAAATTCAAATGGTTATTTCTGTCAAGTAAAGTTGCATTGTGACGCAGTGATTATAATAGCCGCAATCTAGACATATAATAGCATCCCATTTTGACGTGGTATGAGAACGCCTGAGCACATGTGAAAGGACTTGAGGATAGGATGAGAATGCTTGAGCTGTTCATTGTCAGGAACAGAAATTTTCCTTGGAAAAAAATGATCCGTTTCCTTAACCACATGACAGCAGCAGGATTGAGCTCACTCACCAGTCTTGTAGATCTCGTAGCGCAGGGAGAAGCCGGCACCCTGGTGTGCGTAATCAGACACAAACTTGATGTGGATGATGGGACCCGAGGAAATTATGGCAGGAGGAGCAATGTTACTGCAGTGCCTTCCCAGCAGGTCCGCGGACTCAGAATTCCCATCTCGGATCTCTATGAAGTCATACCTAGAAGCAAAAAACAGTACATGCATAAATGCTATTTTTGGATTTGTTTGTTTGGCAAAAAAAGCCAAAGTCTGCAACAGGATTATTATAGTTAAAACTAAAATCTTTACCTGAAATAAAATAAACATGAACTAAAATAAAATGTTTATTTCAGATAGTTACAAAGACATTATTTCACATTTTTAATTTAGATAAATGAATACAATAAATAAGCTAAAATAAAATAAAATATATAAAGATAGATAGATACTTCTCCTAAATTATTTACATCAGATAAAGTTGATATTTAAACATAACTAAGATCGCCATTAAGTCTCCCAAGCAATAAAAGAGGAACCTTTGAGCAATAAAAATGTTCCTCTGGGAAGGACAAACATTAAGAATGCAAGGAAGTGCAATGCAATATCTTCTGCAGCAATGAGTAACTGTGAAGGAACTGCTAGGAGTCGCTTTAATTTGAGCTGGGGTGACCTTTGACCCATAGTGGACTGCTGCTTTATAACAACAAACACACATTTTTTCATGTCACTTCAGAGAAAGACTGAAGGAGCTGAGACAATGACCACCTGTCCGGCCAAAATAATCCCTTAATGTGCGTTGTCCTCTTTTGCCAAAACACTTCACACACAATGTCTAAATGAGGCAAAAGACTCTCAAAAATCCAGCCGGTTGTCTGCATGAGTGCTTCCTTATAATAAATCTGGCCATAGAGAGGCATGAGTCAGGCTTCTTCTCACACCTCAGGAATGCTTGCCCCATTTAACCCCTAAACAAGAACAAGATCCCTGTAAACATACGCCATCATTCCCAACCTAACTGCTCTGGAGCACAACATGCCGACCAGACTTCTCTGTACTGAGAAAATGAATCTATGCGCCTTTAAAACTTACTTACTACAATGTAGGAGGCAGATAATTCGCTTCAAAATGTTCCAAGTTTAGTTTTACCTTAGTGTGAAACTCTTAAAAATAAAAATGAATATCATTTGAGATGATGTTTCATAGCATAATGCCAGCTGAATTCATTAAATGATTCTTTTGAAGCAAATTTATTAAATGATTCAGTTAAACTGATTCACAAGGCATTTTTAGAACTGGACTCTAAGGAATGACTTTGTTTAGGGGTAAAACTGTGAGATGGCAATAATAATAATTAATAATAGTTAACATTATTAATAAATATTATTAATAATACTGGGAACAAATATTTTAATTATTTTGTAAAAAAATATGGTTCAAAATAATAACCAACACATCATTTGACACTATACACACAAAATGGAAACAGTGGTTTTATAGTATTTTACTATATTAAACATAAAACTGCACTGGGACTTATATATAGGCCATAAACTAATTTTGTTTTGTTTTGTTTGTTTGTGGTTTTGTTTTGTTTTGGGTTTTGTTTTGTTTTATTTTATTTTATTTTATTTTGTTTTGTTTTGTTTTGTTTGTTTTGTTTTGTTTTGTTTTGTTTTGTTTTGTTTTGTGTGTAATCTATGCAATCCTTCAGTGCATCAAAGAATAAAAATCAGTGTTTCTATCAGCTGAAGGTGCATCGCATCAAAAAGTCATTGAATCAAGTTCATTGAAAACCTTGAATGAAATGATTCAGTAAATGAATAAAACTTCAAAATGTTATTTGTGATTCTGTTGTTCTTTAGAAATCCATCACTGTACTAGTGCTTTAAAGTAGCCAAAAACCAAAACACCAAGAACTTTTGCGGTCTCCAAAGAATCGTACAGAAACTCAAAAACACATTGATGTCAATTAATGTGTCTGCGCTTTGCCTACAAACCAGAATAGAATGAAGACATGATGTTTTGCCTTTTTTTAACTTTTCCTTCCCAGTTGACTCTGAATTATCCCTGGTTGAGCCGCATAACTGCTGGCTCCACGTCACTCAGGGAGCGTGTATGTGAAAACCTGACACGGCCCCGGGCCCCTCAGAATGACATAAAGAGGCAGGTGTCTCTGACTCTTCATTGCTCTGGACCCCCCCCTGGCCGACCTCACACTTAGAGACTTCAGGTACAGCGGTGTATATTTAGACTACATACACATTCACAAACAAACTTACATATCCATGTAAAGCATCAGAAATCCTTCTAATGCATAAGACTTCTAATGAATCATTTTAACTTTGAGAACAACCCTAGACTAGGCAAAACAGGTCAAAATCTGATATCGCAATCATTTTCAGGCTTTTGAAATGATTATTGATACAAAATATTACTATAAAAGTTTTTTTTTATTAGGAAAGGAAATTATTTACTTTTACATTAAACAAATACTTTTAATTTAGAGAACACTCTTAGAATAGGAGAAATGTAAAAAAAAAAATAAAAATGCCATCTCAATATTTTCAGACGTTTGATGATATTATTAATATAAATATTATGAAAAAAGGTTTTTTTTACAATTTTAGGGAAAAAATTTGATGATATTATATTTTTTCCACATTGTTTTTTACTGAATGAACACAAGAAAGAATATTTCACTATTTTTATTTATATTCACCATTTATATCCACCAGCATTAGAAGCAACATATACTGTATTTTTACTCAATTATTTAAATGCAGTGGTTTGGCAGTAACAAACCAGAGTTTTAAATCAATTAACTGTAACTGAACTGAACTGATTTACATAAATGAATTGAACTTCTTCTACTGAATTTTCAATCATAGACATTAATTGGGGGACAAATAAAAAAAAATTTGCCTAACTTAGTGGCTTAATCAAAATCATCATGGTATTCACAATGTATTCAATATATTTAGGGACAGTTTTATTCTTAAAGCTACTGTACGAACTGTACTATAGGTAAAACCACACACACACATACACAAAACTCTCACTCACTTTCTTTCTGTGTCCATCTCACCTCAAACACTAGAAAAGCTGGGATGAAGGCTTGTAAACTGTATGCAAGTGTAATTAGGTTGTAATTGATTTTGTAGGGGCTCTTGGCTCCTGGATTAGCAGTGACAAGTGAGTGTGTCAAATGTGGATATTGAACGTCTCTAGATGCCTCCACTTGGGTCCGGTGCATTTCGAGATGCGCTTGAAAGTGGAAACAAACCAGGATGCCCATTGATCAACAGAAATGCCCGGATCACTTATTTACCTCACAAAAAATACTTGTATCAATTTCACAGCACTTGTGACTGAACGCAAGAAGCCTTTTCTCATTATCACAGCAATATAACATTGTTCCTCTTCAGGAACTTGAGCTGCGTCGGAAAACGCTAGGGGAACGCCCTTCAGCGTGACGGGCTCTGAACCTCGTGTGTAATCAGACCAATAGATGGGGCGAGACGTCACGGGCGGGTGACGTAATGACCAGGAGGCTATAAAAGGAACTATGGTTACATACGTAACCTGAGATGTTTTATAGGCGTAAAGCTCAAATTGTTTACTGCGGTGCAATAGAGCTGCGATTATGCATGCTAATTATGCACGATTCAATGGTTATTCAAGGCGTAAAGCTCAAATTGTTTACCGCGGTGCAATAGAGCTGCGATTATGCATGCTAATTATGCACGATTCAATGGTTATTCAGGTGCTACAGGCAGTGATGAAAACTCCCCAGACAGCGGTATGTTTGTAAGTGTGAGCGGGGAAGAGAGGCTTGACACGAGGAGGGCAAAGGCCCTGTGTCCCTGTCTCATGTTCAGACATGTCTTCCTCTCCAATCTCACTTTCTGTCTCCTCTCCCCTCCAGCCTCTTCACTGCTAATTGCTTTTCACACCTACGGTGTTTTTCAAGCATTTTTTTCAGGCCTACACAGTCCCCCGAGGTGTCACTAGCTGCCCTAAAGAGCAGTTTGTCTGGAGAGAGGCACAGACAGACAGATACACAGGGGTACGGATGCTACTATCCATGTTTGTTTGTGCATATACAGTAATACAGCGTGTTTGTTTCTTGGTTCAAATGAAAAGAGATGTGCTGTAGTGACACTGGGCGTAACATAAGCCTGGACCCCATTAATCTCTGAACCGCCTGAAACCGACTACCTACACAATAAACAACACTTCAGCATGTGTTTTTAAATCATAAGACCATCTGGCTTGCTGAAAATCACTGCTGAATCTTATATTTGGCTCAGGAGCCCATATGCACATATTGTAAATTACAGTGGATGCATAAAAATAGTAATATCAGGCATTGTGGAATCTGCTATAATAATGTGTTCTTCTATGTACCTTATAGCACCATAAAAATAACTAATGGTAGCCTGGTGCGATATACAAAGGGTAATTATAGATACCATGATATATATTTTAAAGTACCATGGTACTGCCACATTATGTGATCACTGAATGATGCTACTGATACAGTTCTTTATAAATTGACTTTTATAAAAGAATCAATTTTAACTATGTTGCGTAACATAACATAACATAATATAATATAATATAAAGTATGACGCTTAAGAATCATAGTAATCAAATGATACCATGCCATGGTATTATCATTAAAAAAATAAGTTTTTATATAAATTCTAAAATACTTTTTTATATATACATATAGCAAGTAGCAAATTATGGTTCACTGATGTGGTGTAAACTAAAGTCTGTAACTTTTAGTGCTAGCAACACCAAAGTCATGGGTTAAATTTCAAGAGAAAGTTGGTTTTGGATAAAAGAGTCTGCCAAATGTAAACAATGTAACATGTAAAGTCTACTGGGTATTAGTAAAAAGGAACTGATATATCTTACCTAAGCTTTCTGTTTTATTATGAAACACATCAGTACAGGAACTAAGACTGTTATCGACAAGCCATCTCACATCTGCTTAGCTTAGTTTTAACTTAGCTGGAACCAAACAGCTATTATAGTCTGCGTTGCATATCTTTATTATCCTATGAAGATGTCCTGTAGCTCTATCTTTCTTAAACTCAGCTCAATGGCTTTTTCAGAATATAATTCTGTCTGACACACAATCACATTGGCTTTTCAATATCGAATAACACAATGGCCGCTCATTTGAATTCT